AAAAATATCTAGAAATATTCTTGTTGTTATTGAGAGCTATAAACATTGTTGATATTTTGCACTGTGTAACTTTTATGATGAGGTCTGCTCTTTGCTTGTAGTCGTGGATAACTTATTGCTTTACTTGGATGTCACTCAGTATGATATAAAATATTCAATTGTAGATGTTTTTACTGCTCAAAAACCTGATTCTTAACATTGGGCCGCCCCTCCTCTTCGCAGATGTGACCTGTATTTTAGCCTAGTAATGCTCACTCCGATTGAATGCAGATTTTGAAGTCTTACGAGACATCGGATTTTGGAGTTTTTGTTGCTGTTTTTGTATCATTGCAAAGTTTCTGCTTCCACTCAGCCATAGAGGTGGGCGATATGGACAAAAATAAATATCTCGATATATTTTTTCCAACTCCCGATAACGATAATGTCACGATATTTTTAAAATCATTCATTTTTACACAAATGATCTGCAATGTTTTGCTGCCAGGGCATTTATAGATAGAGACAGTGTAGATCTACATAGAAGCTTTTTATTTGTAAAGTGCTTCACACTTCTTTTCAAAACATGCACAAACATATATTAACATTAAAAATCAAATTCAAGTAACACAGAAAGAACACATCCAAAAAGGCTCAATATTTACTGAAATGTACAAATAAAACAGTCATTGGCTTTTTAGGCACACATTAGACCAAATGGGCATCTTGCTTGCTGTAACTGTAATATGTATGTAAAAAGAAAAAGGACGATAATACAAAAAAGCATATCTTCAAATTGACTTTCATGATATTATTGTCTAAGATATATTTTGCCCACCCCTACTCAGCCACCAACGCAATTGGCTCTGAATCTGCAGAATTCATTGGTGTATTCATTACATGCCAAGTGTCTACCATCGATTATGTAAAAATCCTCACATATCATGCTAACACTAAGTAGAGATCTGGTATCGTGTTTACTGTAGCTAACAAGCGATATATAAGTTTGCAGCTTGTAGCCTCTAGAATTCAGTATATGGCCAGGAAAAAATCTATCTTTTAATCAAATCAATAAATTCTACTATTAAGTGCTTTGTAGAAGAAACTCTGCTAGCTGTTAGCATTCTTTATTAGCATCTTTGGCTAATGATTTTGAGCTAGCAGGACTAAAAAAATATATTAAATTTGAACATACAGATCATTTATGGAGCGGAAACAAAATGTGGTTGTGTCTCCAAATATCAGCATTGGTATTAGGGCTGGGCGATATGGCAAAAAGTAAAATCTTGATTTTATTTCCTGCTTTGGACAATTTCGATTTTAAATCAATTTTCATTAAAGTTTGCCCTTTGAAATATTTTTTGGATCTTTCCGCTCAATAATCAAGTTTCAGAGCCATCTTTATTTTGTTTCCCCCAATACGTATTATAAAAGTCTTGTAGTAGAGTGGGCTGATATTGCAAGTAGAGTTCATGTGCTGCTGGAACTCTCCCAATATCCTTCATTCAATTTCACAATGTTCACATTTTTCACGAATTCGACTTTTTCAAAAGCCGATTAATTGCCTAAATTCGATTTATTGCCCAGCCCTAGTATTGGCTACTCAAGATTCCAATCGGTCGCACCACAATCCAATTCAAGTTTATTATTATTGTCACTTACACATTATATGCCTTGAGATTCTTTGCAGATATTTCATAGTATAGTATCAAAAAAAACATTGGTATTGCCCTTTATTAGTACAAGCTATATGCTGGAGATCTTCTTGATAAAGCTAATGGTAGATTTGCATTTGGCATTTAAAAAAGTGCCTCCTGCATGTTTCACTAATTCCCTAAGTGAAGTAGAGGCCTCGGTGTTGGAAGTGTGACTGAGCTGACGGGACCACATGGCTCTACATTACCCCAATGAGTGTGTCATCAGTGAGTGTGGTTTGGGTGTCTGTCTGGCACACCTACTACAATATTTAAAAAGGCTCTCGTGCTAATTAAATGCTGCTTTCCATTAGAACCGAGTCCAACGAGGTGATAAATCTCATATAAAATTCTGGGTCCACACCAAACTCTGTAAAATATCTAACAAGGCAAACACAGGGCTCATTACTTTTACATGATTTTTTTTTGTTTTTTTGTCGGAAAGTTTGGCGAAGCAAACAAGCGTGACCAAACTCTCACTTTGCGCTCTTGCTATCGAGTTATCTTTGATCCGCCTAAGCTGACATCCACGAGAAACATATGCAGGGCCGGGCAGTTTATCAACAGTTAATCAGAACTGTTGAAAATTGCAGATGTTATCGTTGCTGCGACAATTGCAATGATTTATCCTATTCTTTTACGCACGCTTTACTCTGCTATTGTTCCTTGCTACATGTAGAAACTAAGGAATGATGCAGTTTTTGTAGTTTAAGATTAAGACTTTGTAGAACTTACTATTTTTGTACTTTTGTACTATTTGTACTATTCTTGCTTCTTCCTCATGCTAGATTTATGCACAAACATGAATTATGGATTTATTTAGTATAGAGTTATTGTTCATTTATCTATAGTTGTGTTGGATGGATGGCATTTAGACTGAAGGGGCGGCAAGATATGTTTGTGGCGGGAATTCCTAATGTTAACGTAGATGGAGATCAGTTCTGTTTTGGATGTGGAACAAAGCTATAACCAAAGAAAAAGAACATTTTGAATATTATTATACCCCGTTTCTTGGCCCTACTCTACTCGGTTCAACTCTACCGTGATTGGGAACGTTTCCACTGGACCCGATTAACCACGCAGGGACTTTTCTACCTGCATGGACCTGGTTCTATCCAGGCTGGTACTATAGCTGACCGTGATTGGCCAGAGTGATGCTGGAAGCCATGGTAACCAAAGAATTTCCCCAGATACTGGTTTGTTGTGTGTACAGATACTGAACACAACCAGGCCGAGTAGAGTAGAGAATAAACAAAAAAGAGAAAAGTAGAGTATTTCCAAATAGAGAGAGTAGGTGGAAATATGGCTATCTTTCTGCTCTAAGTTGGATCTATAAGTTAAAGTTAACAACTAAAAGAGACTTCACTTTGTGTTACTGTGCAGACAATTCTAAGAGTCAAAACTTGCTAGATCCACTGTTTAGTTTACTCATTTTTAGTGTTGTTTGATTCAATACCACACTTAAAGGACCCATATAACGCTTTTTGACTTTGTCTGGTTTAAACATGATTACAGTGTTATTTGTCCTTCATACACATGCTCAGCGTAGTTTTACATTTTCATCCCGAAAAAGAAGAATGCGCGAATGTCGCTGGACTTTCTATTCTCGGGATCTGTCGTTGAAATCTGTGTTTCAGCGCGCACAGCCTTTCCCAGCATGTAGACCCGGTACCGCTGTGTTCGCTTCTATGCTGTTTTTCTGATATCGACAGAAACTAAAAGTGTTAGTATCGTGTCAACTTGGAGAAATTTGTTTTAGGGTGAAAATATGTGAATTTGACCCGAATACGTAGAATAAGCGAGTGTAGCCGTACTTTCTATTCACGGGGATATGCCTTTGCAATTTGCGACGAATGTGCGTTTCTGCGCGACAGTTCTCCAAAGACTGCTCGTTTACCATGAAACTGGACCGAACCATGAACTGGACTTACTCAAAAGCTGATCTGGAAACCTCTACTATTCCCACGATAAAATATGCAAACGAAAAGCCCCAATCTGTACAACGCAACTATCTCAGCCTATACTTCTGTGAGATAAATGATCAGGGTTCTATTCTGGAAGGGCTCTGGGCTCAACGTGACGGATTGTCATAGTTTACAAAGTTTATTATCAGGTCTGAAATGTACCGGTGAAAGCTAAATAGTTCTGTGTTTACAAAGTCAGTGTGAGGCTACGTCACTGCGCGGGCTCTCAGGGAAAGATCCATGTTTTTGCAGAGAGGTGACATCAGCTCTATGGCTATAATTTCAAAGTTTTGGGTGTTGTATGGTGTATCACCCAAATTATTATCACACATGTGCTAAGGATGGACTGTGAAAATGTAATAAAAGCGAAATATAGGACCTTTAAATGTTTGAGACTAAATACTCTATAGCCTGTCCATTTATGAGAGTGGATAAGATAAGAAAAGATGGACTTCATTGATCTCACAATGGAGAAATTCACACATTTGGCATAAGTTGTATCACTCAGGTTGTCTTTCCCAATGCGCTTCTCCCCGAGGTTTCAGTTTTTATCTCTTACTAGGTTTGTGACTTTTGTTTGTAACTTTTTCTTGTCAATGCAAGACGGCCTAAGGCTAGGGGAACACAGCCGTACTCTACTCTACTCTACCTGGTTGCGTTTACATTACACTTTAGTATTCGGTACCGTATCCAAGCAACCTACCCACAACAAACCAGGGGAAATATTTTGGTAACCATGGCTTCCACTAGTTCTACGGCCAGTCACGGTCAGTTAGAAGACTTTAGTGGACCAGGCACCAAGCGAGTACCGAAAAACTATCTGGAGCTGGTTCCCAATCGGGGTAGAGTAGAGCTGAGTCGAGTAGAGTGGGGCCAAGTGGAAACGGGGCTCTTTATGAACACTGGTTAACCCACCTAATTCCCTCCTAAGTGCTTTTTTCATTTATTTTTTTTATTATCTGATTGACAATCAATTTTAAAGTGAGTGTACTTTCAGGATGACTAAATCCGCCTTGAAAAACCCATCTAGAGATATAGTACAATAAAGCATTATGAATCCATCTACCCGATATCCCAAAAACCAATGATTCTGTCCTTATTATGTGGTTCTCTAATCTGCAGTTATTTGATTCTCTTATCTGCTGTTGGCAAATTGACAGTTCCCCCCCCTTCCAGGTAACTGCTGTTGTGATTTTGAGCTATCCAAAACAACATTTTGATTGATAAACCTTTTGGAAAAGTTATCTTAAAATCGTCTTTTGCCTTCCCCATCTTAGTCTCACACCCCTTACTACTACTACTACTACTACTACTACAACCCTGTATACTTTTGAGAACCATAAAACCAACCATGTCTCCTCCTCACCTGATGTAGTCATTCCGACAGAGGATCATGCCGCTCTTGGTGTAGCAGGAGGTGCCGATGTCGCCGAGCTGGGCCTGGCAGCACGAGCACTTGAGACAGCGGCTGTGCCAGTAGCTGTCCATGGTGTAGAGCAGGAAGCGGTCCGCGATCTTGCCTCCGCAGCCGGCACAACGCTTCCAAGAGAGGGACCCCGCGCCCACCGGCGGCTGAGTGCTGCCCCCTGGATTCACCATGGTCCCTGCAACAACAAGACACAGGACAAGACAGGGACAAGGTCAGAGGAGTGGGACCAGCTATGTTTTAAGTGTTTTGTATATCAACAGATTGTATTTTTTACTTTAAATGTGTGTATATTCGCAGATATCTATATTCCTAAGTATCTATATCCAGATGACTCTATTCTCAAAATATTGTTTTATTATAATTTTCATTTTCAGATTGTTACTTTAATGTTATTTTTATTGTGAAATACTATGAGAGCTAATGTGAGTCTAAGTCTAAGTCTGTTTTGTGTGCTCCTTTTGTGTGTTCTTACTACTGTTTGTGTGTATGTGAACGTCAAAATTTACCCACTCTGGGACGAATAAAAGATCAAGCCAATCCAATCCACTTTATTTATATCGCACATTTTACAAAACAAGTTGCCAAAGTGCTGCAAAGAGACAAAAGCAACACATTTAACCCTGCAAGCTTCATGTAGATATAAAAAAAACATCCAAAAAAATGGGTATTTTATCTTATCTTAAAACTGTGCTTATTATGGAAGGTTTTTCTTTGTTTGATCTAATTTTATAACTATTTTTGAATTTGTGAATTTAGTTCAGGGCCGTAGCATCTGTACCAACCTTTGTCAAAACAAGTGTCTCTGTGATCTTGTGTATTATCTCTGATGAAGATTATGTCCCTGGATTTGGAAGAGCTATTAAATAACTTATGAAAAACTTGTATCCTTGTGATTTAGAGTGTGTTTTCATTTTGCTGATTGTGGTCCTTTAAATGTTTTCAATGTGAAGTACTTTGAGGTTGGTTTGCGTATGAACAGTGCTATAAAAGTACATGTTGATGGGTATTCTAAAATGATGAATAAACCGGTTCTAAACCATGTCTTACTCCACACAATCTCTGCTCTTGCCTGGTTTTCAGAAACAATTTACAGCTGGACAATTTTATTTTTGAGTTGTGTGTGCGTGTGTATCCCTCCTTTTGTTTTGATTTGCAGTCTTTGTATATCACTTTGAGTTGATTTTTTGAGATATTTTTCAGGTCAAAAACAGGGCTGCAAACACAAGTTGACAGATTGCGAATGGTCGACAAATGCAAACCACGGAAACTTGAACTTGCCCCATTTTTGTTCATACTTATACATGGGAGAAGTTGTCGATTGTGAGACATAAAATAAAAGAAAGTTGAAGGATTTCCTGTTTTGTAGTGCAACAAATTACAATTACAAATGTAAAAAATACTGCAGAGGATTGTACAGAGATTACGTTTAAAAAATCTTGTCAATCAAACTTTTCTTAAAATACATTTTCATTTGTATGTTTAGATGCTACAAAAACTCACAATGTAATTCCCGTAAATAAACGCAACATAATTATTGGAAAACATATTTAGTCGTGCTTTCACCTTTTTATTCATGAATACAAAATGAGCATAATATCTATCCCAGGCTTAAACCTCCCTTAATGCTTTTTTTTTACTTAAAATTTTACTTTGACGGTTTCGGACAAACCAGTTCTACCTCTTCTTCTAACTTGTGCTTATACTTTTAATGTTATTGCATCCACAGCCTGCGCCACTATCACCAAACACATGGTCCGTGCGCTGTTTATGGTCTGAAGCAGCTGGAGACAAAACACGCCGCTCTTCTGGACAATGGACTGTAATTTATTTGCTTGTTTTGGGATTGTTTTGGCTAACTTGCAAAAGCCGAGATCATCTGTCCGCTCCGATCATTATTATTGCACTTTTAGGACTTTGGGTAGTCATGGTTGGACTTTGGTTTTCACGCAAGTTTGATGGGAACTTTAAGAGGATGCAGATCAGCTTTTCTGCAACTTAGAGAAGACTGTTTATGGTAATAACATAAAGATCTCGGCAAAGACAAAGGCAAAGGTTATGTGTCTATTTGTATTATTATAATGCTTTGATAGTTATGTTGAGGATTTAAATACCTTAATACATGCGTTTCACATTTGCACAACACTGAATGTCATTACGAATTACAATTTTTAGTACGATTTTATACTTACATGAGGCCAAAGTTAGAAGTTTTATACCTAATTCTTGCTTCTTGTATATGCTTAAGTTGGAGATTTCAGACTTGCTTCCAGTTTCGCTAAAGCTAAAGATGCTATACTTCCTTCTTTATGATGCTAAAGTTAGAGATTGTATACTTGCTAGTTTAAAAAAAATGTCATATAGCGTTATTGTTTATTTATCTTGTGCTCCTGATAAAGAATTGCTTAATCTTACTCTTTTGTACATGCCTTTATACCTATTTACTTACTTTTGTTTTACTTTCCTAGTGTGTGACTTCCTATTACATCCAAATCCATACAAATAATGCTGATTCTGAATTATGTTATAATCAGATGTAAGTCCAGTAATGATCGGAGTATATCCTTCATAACGTAAGTAGCTTTTTCCTGCTAAATCCGCCGATTATTATATTTTTTTATTATAGACTCACACGATTATACAAAATGCCCCATGAGTATTACTACATATTACTACATATTATAGCCCTGGCACTTTTGTATCACTTTGAACTACAATATAGACTGTCCCTTCCCAGAATATGCATTTGTCCAAAAAAATGTTTGCTGAAAGGTTGAGAGCCTTTTTGTGGGGTCTTCCCGGTAAAATTTTGATATGGCTAAAGCTGAGGTGCCTGATTTTCCAACAGCGAAAGAGGGGCAAGAGTTATATGGTTCGAAATTATATGTACAAGAGAGAGTAAATATAAGCTATAACATGTTGTCAGGATTTTTAGTATACCTAGCAATACTTGAATAGTTCAACTGCAAAAAAACAGATAATTGACTTTAGAAAAAGATTAGACAAACTTACAATTTGCTCGTTGCTAAGTCCATTTTTGAAACGCCAGTCTATGTAAGTGCCATACAACTAAAGTTTCTTGAGCAAAGTTTTTCAAATTTACAGCCAATAACACAACATTTGGATGATTGTGGAGAGAGGAATACAACTTTTTGACTTATTTTCAAAACAGAGATTTCTGTTTCTGCAAAGTCTATAGTTTCAGCCTTGGTTAAGATCTCAGTTTTTGCTTGTTCGGTCCAGTTTCAACCCCTGACTTCAGTCTTGTCAACTTCTGACTCCCTATATACTTTAGCCACCTCCGACTCAACTCTGCAAAACTATGTAACAAAGTGCTGCATGGCTTCCTGCGTGTATATACTTATAGTTTGACGCCCACCTCGTCCATCAGCACTTCCATCTCACCTGGTGTTTTTAGGTCATACGCGTTGCCTTCCCCGTGCATCCCATCAAGGACCAGCCCCCTCTCTCTCTCTCTGTCTCTCTCTCTCCTCTGAGTCCTCTCCTCATACAACCAACACGTCGCCCCTTCTTTCTCAGTCGCGCACTCACTGACTGACTGACTGACTGACTGACTGGCGCGGAGACTTTGAACAGCTGCAGACTGCAAATTCGCACAATAGCCCCGATCTCATTATTGCATGTAAGAGGGGAGGGGATAGGGGAGACGGGGGGGGGGGACGTGGGGGGGGATGATAGGGGAGACTGACTGCTCCTCTGCGCGCTGTTCTGTTCCGCTATACAACACACATACGAGTCATTTAGCGGACTATAATCTACGCCCTTGATCTCGAGCTGGGGCAATCCGCATGTATGGACCTCTGGCGTGCGTGATGAATCGGATGACACCCCAGGCAGACCCACCAAAAAAAAAAAAGAGATGGCACAATACAATCATGCAGCATTCTTTTGTCGCTTCTGTCCCAAGGAATTCCCCCCTTGCCACCCGTGCCTCAAAACACATAGAGTTCAACGCACCCCTATAAATTACTATAAATAAACACACGCGCACTTTTTGTTTTCAGATCACTCCACGCGCGTTAGGGTTATCAATAATAATCCATCTCCAGAGTCTAAAGCTGTGGTATAGTAATGTAATATAGGGGTCACAGCGCGTCTTCGTCTTGCCTCACCAAAACCACCAAACCACCACCGCACCGCTCGATAATGACGTTAAGTGGTTTTAATCTATCGCTCGCACTGTCCTGGCATTTGTCTCGCCCGCAAGAAATTAATGTGTTTTTTTTTTTTGTTTTTTTTTTTGGCAAATGTAATCCTTTCTAATTTGGTCATCCGCGCACTCAGACAACACATGCTCGCGGATAAGGCTAAATCTTTGTTGAAAGGCAGGTAGGGCTAATTGGAGCTGGGTTACACGCGAGAGAGGAAGGAGGAGGGATGGAGGGAGAGAGGAGAGGAGAGGTAGAGGGGAGGGGAGGAGGGGGTTCTTGCACACAGAAATGCATTGAGTTTTAAGCCCATTAGCGATGGCTCTATACACCCACAGCATATATACCTTCATGGCGATTAGATCTTTAAAAAGATGGGGGAGAATGAATCAAAACAAGGCGATAGTCAAGTTTCAACCCACTTTTTTTTTCTCTTTTCCCCCCAGATAGGAGATGACAGAGATGGGGAATAAGTGAGGAGAGAGAGAGAGACAGAGAGAGAGAGAGATACAGGGGGGGGCGGCTTTTAACTTAAATGGGTAAGTAATTACGCGGGCAGGCAATTTAGGAGACGCTGAAATGGAAGTGGGACGAAAGAAGATCGGGCGTATACGCTAAAAGCTTTCTGAATATGACATGATTCGGGGGCTGTGATGGAGCAAAGTAGACTGCAAACATTAGCGGGTAATTATCTTGATAGATTGAGGGGATCAGAGAAGGATTATAGAGCGACATCAACTCAACGACGGGCTGGCGTTCTAGAGCAGGGAGAAACACACACAACAAACTTCATAAACATCTATACCCATCCCTCTATACCTACCTTGGGGTAATGTGCAGAGACTGTGTGGCTGAAGTTGAGGATCCAGTCGAAGGAGTCCGAGATCAGGAGCGATCGCTGCTGTTTCGGAAAATGTCCAAAGATTTCAGCACACAGAGGTCCGTATGCAAAAGAAAAAAGAAAAAAAAAGCAGAAAAAAAAAAAATCCTTTGCACGTTGCACACAAAAGCGTTCCGATGGCAAATGGAGTTATCAGATAGTATTTCCACTACTGGATGCTTCCCTCTTCACTCTTGGCTCGGCTGTCGTCTGAAAGTCCATAGCAATAACAACAAATGACAGCTCGTGTAATCGTAATGTCCATAAGATGAAGGATAGAGGAGCGAGAGTGGACAAGTTTCAGCGCCCTGGACTTTGCTGTTGGTTTGTGTGCGTGCGTATGCGTCTCTCTTCTTTCGTCTCTCGCTTGCGTCTGTTTGGTCGCGCTGGCTGCTTCTACTGCTGCTGCTGTTGCTCTTGCTGCTGCTGGTTCTGCTGCTGCTGCTGCTGCTGCCTCTACTGCTTGTACATGTGTCGCTGACAGGCAAGAAACCTCCAGTAAATAGCTTTTATATATTCGTGACGGCAGCGCACGGGCAGCCAATCAGAGCGCGCTCCGTTCGAGGGGAATAACAAATCCAACCAATAGCAGCGGCGCGTAATGGACTGGGACACAGGGCAAGAGAGGAATGGAGACGGCAATGAACTAGACTAGACCAGACTTAGAGAGAGAGATATATGGATGTGGCCAAAACAACTTAAAGAAGGACATAGGAATTACTTTTTTATATATATACAAGACAATGTATAAAATATGGTTCCATAGACCCAAAAGACTGGACATGGTCTGTGAGAAAACACGTATTCAAATGTATCTGTTTCACATTTTTGGCATGGACCTGAATATTTAATGAGTTCAATTCCTCTACAGCCACCATAGAGGAGGTTATAGCCTCTAATTAGTTTGAAGGGGATTTGAGATACGTGTGTCATGGGGCGCAGGCTTAACCCAGGTCTAATTAAAAAACAAAAAAAAGTCAATATATAAACACAAGGCAAGTGGTTTTAGCTTGGGCTTTCCATATGCATGTGCAGTGTATTCATTCACACCATGGTACTTATCTTAAATTCAACACTATTTTGAGTCAGAATTTCTTTACATGGCATGCAGTAGTAGTAGTAGCAGCAGCAGTAGCAGTAGTAGAAGAAGAAGAAGAAGTACTAGTAGATGTAGTACTAGGTTGGTATTTCAATAAGATTTTACTGCAAATAGCAAAATAATGAAAATGACCCATGGAAAGTAGCATATAGTCGTAGTAGTAGTATTTGTAGTAGTTGAAGTACTAGTTTATGTAGTACTAGTAGATGATGTCCACCCCAATGATATTCCAATGTATATTTTTACTGCAAACACAGCAAAATAAACAGAATCTGAATCTACATTTGAACTACTTTAATGATTGGAGATAAGAAAGCAAAGCCGCACTGTAACATTGCCTGCCTTACATTCACCTCACGTCTCCTTTTAATTGGTTGACATTCAATAAGTACTTGGTTTACCGAGGGTGACTGCAGCAGCCTCTGGGAAATATCTTGGCTTGGGGGAGAAGGGGAGAAAAAAAAAGCTGCGTAATGGCGCCATCGTCTGTCATTGGAGGAAATCGCAGCCTTGTGGCCTTGTGTCGTTTACAACCCCATTACTCTCCAGGTCATTGGTTTCAACACCTATTAAGCCTAATTTGGCAGACCTTGATTTGGCTCCCATCCTCTAATTCATTTAGTGGCACAGATTTTCACGGGAGAAGCGATGGAGAGGCGAGATAAACGGAGAGTATTTATAAATAGGACAACAGAAAGATGGTGTGTGTGATTGAAGCAACACAGAACTGGCTTGGATTCTGGCTTTTTATTTTCCCCCATTTTTTTTTTTTTTTACCAGATTCACAATAGTAATGGGCAGTTTGCGTTTCATATACGCATTATGGTGTGATGTATACATGCCAGCAGTGCTAATTAGTTGCAATAACATTAAAGCGAGACGGCATCAAAGGAGGCTCTCAAAGCAATGGGAAAAATAAACAAAAAATGAAATCACATCAAAGTGAACAAAAGGACAGTAAGCAAAGTAATTAGAACTAAGTCAACAAACGTAACTTCAAAGGGAATAAAACATTTCGGATATATAAAATGTATAAGATCAGATTTATTTGACAAGTCAGCTGCCTATTTGCACATTCTTTTACTCCGAAATGAGGAAGTTAAGCAGGGTATCAGTGCGTTTTACATGAGCAGCTCTGTGGCCTTCTTCTCAACTTTTTATACAAAATAAACGCCAAAAAAAAGGATTTTGTAAACTCTGCTCTTTCAACATGGAACGTGTTTCATGTTATTGAATGCTTTTAATCCAGATTGAGTGCACTTAAGACATCCTCATTGACATGTGTCTGTTTTTAAAATCTATAGTTTTACATTGCAAAAAAAAATTATAACATGAGGTAATGATTGCTTGAATTGAGTGACCTTTCTTGTATCTATTCATAACAAGATCATTTTTCTGGTCCTTTTGGCAAATTGTGTTTGAAGGCATTCAAAATGTGCTCATATTAATTTTGGACTTATATTTCATCACTTTTTGCAATGTATGTAATTGTCTGTAACAGTACGTAGTATTGTTTTTACATGCTTTGTGGATCTTTGTCGATATTGAGCTTTTCAAACACAAAATGCAAAAAGGAGACCACGGACACGTCGGAGTGACCGTTCTCCCATGCTGGCCTGGAAATGCCTCAGGATTGGCCCGGATGAGCTGGAGTTGGTGTGTGTGGATAGTGAAGTGTAGACGTTTCTGCTTAGACTGCTGCCCCCGCAACCCGGCAACAGATAAAGAGGAAGAAAATGGATGCATGGATGGATGGAAACAACAAAATGTGTATTCTGCAAACATGGATATCTGTTTTCATGGCTTATCTTCAATCATGCCAAGAAAGTTGCACGGAAACTGAGATGCCAGAAACTGGAGAACCCAGAGGAAACCTGTACGCAGAAATGTCTGGAGGTGCAATGGAACCAGGATTTTGGAGTAGACCTGGTGGCCCTGGTTGTATCTGATGGGTCAATGAGTGTGATTTGCTTGTCGCTCCAAAACCATTTTGGAATCCAACTTTATATTAAAAACTGCCCCGCTTTACAAAACAGATCAAACTATTGGCTTATTAAAATACTGAACTCAACGAATTTCATAGTTTGTATAAATGAAAACCAGAGCAAACTGAAACCACCCAATCAGGTCGTCTGCAAGTGATTTAAAACCAGATTCTCCACAAATATGAGTAACCTCTGCCTGTTCTGGACGACACAATCGCCAGCAATAACATTTTATTTAGCTTTTGCCATCCTGTGATATTCCTAATGGATCTATTGCACGCTACCAGACTTCATAGAGAGAGGACAAGACCTTCTCTGTGGCTGGACTGGAGTGTTTTAAGTCACGTCTTAAGACTCACTATTTTTCTCTGGCTTATAGCACCACGTGAGTTGTATGGTATTCTACCTTTTTGATATTTGATATATTCATACATTCATGTTGTTTTTTTGGTATGTTTATTCGTGTTAGATCAGATTACTTTACTAAATCCGTTAGAGGAATCTCAGGTAAAGCCATCAGCATAAAAAACACATTCACAGCGAGACAATCATTACAATACAACGATACCATAACACAATAAATCCATAAGTGTTCAGTCCCCCTGGACTGCCACTCCCCCCTGGACTGCCACCTTAACGTGGTGGGGGAGTTTGAGTACTCGGATGATCCTGGGAGCTATGCTGTCTGGGGCTTCATGCCCCTGGTAGGGCCTCCCATGGCAGACAGGTCTCAGGTGACGAGTCAGACAAAGAGCAGTCCAGAAGACACCATGGACAGCACTAACACGAAAACAGTGACGTCGCCCGGCATGGCGCAGCCGGGGCCCCACCCTGGAGCCAGGCCTGGGGTCGGGGCCCGTATGCGAGCGCCTGGTGGCCGGGCCTTAGCCCACGGGGCCCGGCCGGGCTCAGCCCGAAGGGATGACGTGGGCAGTCCCTCCTGTGGGCCCACCACCTGCAGAGGGGTCCGTGGTGAAGCGGTGCAGAGAGGACTGGGCGGCAGTCGAAGGCGGAGACCTCGGCGACCCAGTCCGCACACACAACATCTGGCTCTTGGGACGTGGAACGTCACCTCACTGGGGGGGAAGGAGCCCGAGCTCGTGGGGGAGGTTGAGCGATACCGACTAGAGATAGTCGGCCTCACCTCCACACACAGCTTGGGCTCTGGAACCCAACTCCTTGAGAGGGGTTGGACGCTCCACTTTTCTGGAGTTTCCCGCGGGGAGAGGCGGCGAGCTGGGGTGGCCATTCTCATTGCCCCCCATCTCAGCCGCCACGTGTTGGAGTTCTCCCCGGTGAATGAGAGGGTCGCGTCCCTCCGCCTCCGGGTGGGGGACAAGTCTCTCATTGTTGTGACGGCCTACGGGCCTAACAGCAGTGTAGAGTACCCGGCCTTCTTGGAGTCCTTGGGAGGGGTACTGGACGGTGCACCGCCCGGGGACTCCGTTATTCTCCTGGGGGACTTCAACGCCCATGTGGGAAACGCCAGTGACACTTGGAGAGGGGTGATCGGGAAGAGCGGCCCCCCTGATCTGAACCCGAGCGGTGCTCAGTTGTTGGACTTCTGTGCCAGTCGCGGTTTGTCCATCACGAACACCATGTTCGAGCACAAGGGTGTCCACCAGTGCACGTGGCACCAGGACACCCTAGGCCGGAGGTCGATGATCGACTTTGTTGTCGTATCATCTGACCTTCGACCGCGTGTCTCGGACACTCGGGTAAAGAGAGGGGCGGAGCTGTCAACCGATCATCACCTGGTCGTGAGTTGGATCCGCTGGCAGGGGAAGAAGCCGGTCAGACCTGGCAGACCCAAGCGTATAGTGAGGGGTCTGCTGGGAACGTCTCGCTGAGCCCCCTGTCAGACGGACTTTCAACTCACACCTCCGGGAGAGCTTCTCCCAGGTCCCGGCGGAGGAGGGGGACATGGAGTCCGAGTGGACCATGTTCTCTGCCTCAATCGCCGATGCGGCGGCTCGTAGCTGTGGTCGCAAGGTCTCTGGTGCTGGTCCCGGCGGCAACCCCCGAACCCGGTGGTGGACACCGGCAGTAAGGGATGCCGTCAGGCTGAAGAAGGAGTCCTATCGAGCCATGATGGTTCGGGGGACTCCTGAGGCAGCTGTCCAGTACCGGCAGGCCAAGCGTGCCGCGGCCCGGGCTGTTGCAGAGGCAAAAACCCGGGACTGGGAGGAGTTCGGAGAGTCCATGGAGCATGACTATCGGTCGGCCTCGAAGAGATTCTGGCAAACCATCCGGCGCCTCAGGAGGGGGAAGCAGTTCTTTGCCAACACCATGTACGGTGCGGGTGGAGAGCTGCTGACCTCGACTGGGGATATTGTCGGGCGGTGGAAGGAATACTTTGAGGTTCTCCTCAATCCCCCCGTCACGTCCTCTGTTACAGAGGCAGAGGCTGAGGATGTTGGGGCGGGTACATCCATCTCCCTGGCTGAGGTCACCAAGGTGGTTGGTAGCCTCCATGGTGGCAAGGCTCCGGGTGTGGATGAGATCCGCCCTGATTATCTAAAGTCTCTGGATGTTGTAGGACTGTCTTGGCTGACACGTCTCTGCAACATCGCGTGGCGATCGGGGGCAGTGCCAATGGAGTGGGAGACCGGGGTGGTGGTCCCTCTCTACAAAAAGGGGGACCGGAGGGTGTGTTCCAATTATCGTGGGATCACACTCCTCAGCCTCCCCGGTAAGGTCTACTCCAAGGTACTGGAGAGGAGGTTACGGCCGATGGTCGAATCTCGGATCCAGGAGGAGCAGTGTGGTTTTCGTCCCGGTCGCGGAACACTGGACCAGCTCTATACTCTCCATCGGATACTCGAGGGTTCATGGGAGTTCGCCCAACCTGTCCACATGTGCTTTGTGGATTTGGAGAAGGCGTTCGACTGTGTTCCCCGGGGTGTCCTTTGGGGGGTTCTCCGGGAGTACGGGGTCGGAGGTCCTCTGCTGAGGGCCATCCGATCCCTGTATGACCGGAGCCAGAGCTGTGTTCGCATTGCCGGCAGTAAATCAGACCTGTTCCCGGTGAATGTTGGCCTCCGACAGGGCTGCCCTTTGTCACCGGTTCTGTTCACTGTATTTATGGACAGAATATCTAGGCGCAGCCAGGGGTCGGAGGGGGTCCGGTTCGGAGACCACAGGATTTCATCTCTGCTGTTTGCGGACGATGTTGTCCTGTTGGCTCCAACGAACCAGGACCTGCAGCATGCACTGGGACGGTTTGCAGCCGAGTGTGAAGCGGCTGGGATGAGAATCAGCACCTCCAAATCCGAGGCCATGGTGCTCGACCGGAAAAAGGTGCCTTGCCCTCTGCAGGTGGGTGGAGAGGTCCTTCCTCAAGTGGAGGAGTTCAAGTATCTCGGGGTCTTGTTCACGAGTGAGGGAAGAATGGAGCGTGAGATTGACAGGCGGATCGGTGCAGCGTGCGCAGTTATGCGGTCGCTGTATCGGACCGTTGTGGTGAAGAGGGAGCTGAGCCGAAAGGCAAAGCTCTCGATTTACCGGTCAATCTTCGTTCCCTCCCTCACCTATGGTCATGAGCTTTGGGTAATGACCGAAAGAACGAGATCGCGGATACAAGCGGTCGAAATGAGCTTCCTCCGCAGAGTGGCTGGGCGCTCCCTTAGAGATAGGGTGAGGAGCTCAGTCACACGGGAGGAGCTCGGAGTAGAACCGCTGCTTCTCCACGTCGAGAGGAACCAGTTGAGGTGGCTCGGGCATCTGTTCCGGATGCTTCCTGGACGCCTCCCTGGGGAGGTGTTCCGGGCACGCCCCACCGGGAGGAGGCCCCGCGGAAGACCCAGGACACGCTGGAGGGACTATGTCTCTCAGCTGGCCTGGGAACGCCTTGGGGTCCCCCCGGACGAGCTGGAGGAAGTGTGTGTGGATAGGGAAGTCTGGGCGTCTCTGCTTAGACTGCTGCCCCCGCGACCCGGCAACGGATAAAGCGGAAGAAAATGGATGGATGGATGGGTGTTCAGACAGTAAAGGTAAAAGTCAACATGAAAAAGATATGCATACATTAAACCAGAAGCTAAAAAAGCATGTACAGTGACAAGTTCTTAAGAGTTACTGATGAGGTCAATGGCTGTTGGGATCTTTGTTGGAGACATCTGCTGAGGGGAAGAACCTCAACTCAAACATGGTCTTGGCTTGAGTCATTGACCTTGATCTAAACAGGTCAAATATACGACTGCATTGAATCCCTTCACTCTGCAGCCATCCATCCATCCACTTTCTTCCACTTCATCTGTTGCCGGATCGCAGGGGCAGCAGTCTAAGCAGAGACGCCCAGACCGCCCTATGCACACACACTTCCTCCAGCTCATCCAGGGGGACCCTACCCAGGGGACCCTATTGCATTCCCAGGCCAGCTGAGAGACATACTCCCTCCAACGTGTCAGGGGTCTTCCCCGGTGGGTCATGCCAAAATCAGAGAAAAAAAGCTCTCAAGCTATTTGAAGAATTGGTGCCACAGGTCGGAACCACAACTTTGGGAGACCTCCTGCGTGCTCAAGGCACTGCAGGACAAAGACCTCAGTGTCATCACACCTGATGTAGTCACTGGAGAGACTGATCCTGGGACACCTCCGCTCCATGGTGAACTCAGCAATGGACCTGCTGCAGTTTACCTACTGGCCGGGCCTCGGAATGGAGGACGCCATCACCTCCCTTCTACATCACAGGATGTTAGGGTTCTGTTCTTTGATTTCTCCAGCGCCTTCAACACCATCCAGCTGCGGCTTCTCAGGGACAAGCTGGAGTGGACTAAAACTTGTCTTAGTGGATCCTAGACTACCTCACAGACAGACCCCAGTTTGTGAGAATCAGAGACTGTGTGTCTGAGGTCCTGACCGGCTGTGTGGGTCCCCCCAGGGAACTGTCCTGGCAACGTTCCTCTTCACCCACTACACTGCGGACTTCAGACACAACACGGATGGTTGTGTCCTACAGGAGCTCTCTGACAACTCCTCCTTTGAAGGCATGGTTGACAAAGAGGCTCCGAGCTTTGCAACCAGGTATAACATTCTTATATTGACTGAGCTGGAGTTGGTTGGATGACACTGTAACCTTGTGTGTATGAGCTCAAAGACTACAACTTTGGATTAGCAAGGAGCTGAGGGACGAATACAACTAACAGAGGGGTGCACTTGGCTTTTTTGGACATGCCTGGTGAAGCCCATTGGAAATCTTTCATGAAATGTGCTATAAAAATGAACTGGATAAACAACACCGATTCAACCAGTCAACGCACCACCCCCCATCGATATCATACCTGCACAAAGAACATGCCAAACCATTTCAAATCTGAGAGAGCTCTGAGAACCAAAATTAGTTTGTGTAAATACTTCTGTCAATCAATGAGCATTTGGAAACTCTGCTTTGATCCACCAAGTTGTAATTGGTGAAAAGTTGTTGAAACTTATTTAGGATTCACCAGACTGCATGGTTTTACATGACAAAACAGCGTGATTATGAGGCGCCCCAGGCTTCATTAGAAAGACATCAGATGTATAAAGATAATCTTTTTCTTGACGTTAATTGTTTAATTATTCGTGCAGCTCCGAGGAGATTGAACGGCGTCAAGCTGATTTCCCTTTTGGCGAACACAGCAGCGCCCCCTTGGTCTCACACACTTTCTTTTGAGGCTCTCATCAAGCTCCACACTCGGAAGAACAAAAAAACATGCAAGACGCGAAGAATGTCTTTTCCACCAAGGAACGATTAATTGATATAAATGATTAAACAGAGGGAAATTATGAAATGGATTTGAAAAGGGGCCTCACAGGAGCTGCATTGTTTGTTGCTGGACTATTTTAATGAGCTTTTCATTACTGGGCAGCAGAAATTATTCTGCACATTGGCTTTTTGGAAGAATTAATTGCGGTTAGTTGAAGAGCCGGACTTGGTCCCAGGTGCCGCCTGCACGCACCCGATTGGGTTTATAAAAGAAACATTTTCTCCGTCCCTAAACTTTATGCATTATGCTGAAACCTATTGTTTGAAGTTGTTTGGACCAGAAATACAACAGCAGTTTTACAAGATCATCATAGAACTGTTTTTTCTGATTTTTCAACTATAGGCAAGGCAAGGCAAGGCAAGGCAAGTTTATTTATATAGCACAATTCATACACAAGGCAATTCAAAGTGCTGAACAAAACAAGAAAGCATTAAAATCATAAATTATCACAGAACATTAAAAAGAAAGATAAAAATATAAAATCCCTCAGTTGTATGCACAGTTAAACAGAACCGTCTTTAACCTGGTTTTAAACATTGTCAGAGAGGAGGCCTGTCTCACATCTTCAGGAAGACTGTTCCAGATTTTAGCAGCATTAATCTGAAAAGGCAGCCTCCCCATGTTTAGTTCTGACTCTGGGCACTAACAGGAGTCCAGTCCCTGTGCTCCTCAGAGTCCGGGCTGGTTCATATGGGACTAACATGTCACTAATATATTTTGGTGCGAGGCTATGGAGAGACTTGTACACAAGCAGAGCTGTTTTAAAGTCTATTCTCTGAGCCACAGGAAGCCAGTGCAGAGACCTGAGGACTGGACTAATGTGGTCGTACTTCCTGGTTCTTGTCAGGACTCGAGCTGCTGCATTTTGAATGTACTGCAGCTGTTTTACAGCCTGTTTGGACAGACCTGTGAGCAGGCCATTGCAGTAGTCTAACCTACTGGAGACAAATGCATGGATAAGAATCTCCAAGTCTGCTTTAGACACTATGTTTTTGATCCTGGCAATGTTTTTTAGATGGTAAAAAGCTGCTGATGTTACTGATTTGATGTGGCTATTAAAATTTAAGTCTGAGTCCAGTATTACCCCTAGATTTCTGACCTTGTTTGAAGGTTTTAGGGAGAGAGACTGTAGGTGACAGATGACGCTCTCTCTTTGTTTCTGGGGACCAAAGACAATCATTTCAGTTTTGTCTGCGTTTAGCTGAAGGAAGTTGTTTTGCATCCACTCACTGATCTGTTGGATACAGTGAAGGAGTGAGTCCACTGGTCCATGTTCTCCTGCAGTCAGTGAGACATAGATCTGAGTGTCGTCTGCATAGTTATGATAGGAAACTTTGTTTCTGCGTATTAACTGACCTAACGGCAGCATGTAGAGATTGAACAGAAGAGGTCCCAGGATCGACCCCTGTGGGACTCCACAGGTCAGGGCCATATGATCTGAGACACAGTTTCCAATCTCCACAAAGTACTTCCTGTCTTCAAGGTAAGACCTAAACCAACTTAGGGCGGTGCCAGTGACGCCAACCCAGTCCTCTAGTCTCTGTAAGAGGATCTCATGGTCGACGGTGTCAAAGGCAGCACTTAGATCTAACAAGATTAAGATTGAGACTTTGCCTGCGTCAGTGTTCAGCCGGATATCGTTTGTAACCTTAACGAGAGCAGTCTCAGTGCTGTGGTGGGGTCTAAAGCCGGACTGAAACATATCAAATGAGTTGTTGATTATAAGAAATCTAGTAAGCTGTAGGTAGACAACTTTCTCAAGGACTTTCCCCATAAATGGCAGATTTGAGATGGGACGATAGTTGTTAAGTACAGTGGCATCCAGACTGCTCTTTTTTAGCAGGGGCCTGATGACTGCAGTTTTCAGGGCCTTTGGGAATATTCCAGAATGAAGGGACATGTTTACTATCTGTGTGAGTGAAGGTAACAGACTGCTCAGAACAATGATTTTAGACATACATTTATAATCATGCATTCAATCAGAATCAAATTCCTCTCCTCAATTTTATTGATGTATTTTTATTTGATTAGGTAAAAGCAGGATTACTCTGCATGCATGAATCAATTCAAATGACAATTGTGTAAACCAATTGTGAAAAACAACCTCATAAAACCTATAATTGTGTGCAGGCTGGTGTGCGTAGGTGGCGATGGCATGTTCAGTGAAATTGTGCACGGTTTGGTGATTCGGACTCAAAATGACAACAAAGTGAACCCGGATGACCCGGGGGCTGAGCTGGTACCGGCTGCTCTGCGGATTGGCATCATCCCTGCAGGTGAGCTTTGCAAAGAAATACACAATGAAATAACAAAGGACATTATTCCGCTGCTGCGGTAACTGGATGCTTCTTCCTATGGCCACTGGGGCATCACTTTATTGTTTCTGGGGTTGAACATGGGAGTACACATCAGAGTTAACTGTCTAATCTGTTCCAGTGCAAGAAACAACACGTTTAACCAGGAGGAAACTATATTTTCTACTGTCGACTAATTGTTTGGCTTTCACAATCAAACACTAAATATGGGTCTAACTCCTGGACCCGCTGAAGCACATATCTATCTCAAAGCAATTTAAAATCCATATTTGTAAGATTCGTAATTACTGCTGTGTATATACTGGGGTAATACTAGAATGTTGAATTAATACATAATATTTTCTTTCTTTTAGTTTACAAGAGTAATATGGTTAATTGCTTTTGATCAAACACAGTGGTTTTCAATATGTCCTGTTCAACTGTGACAATAGGAATATAAATGAAATAAAAAGTCAATATGATAAGGTGTGGTACACTTTATTGTCACCCTTCCTGCACTGCTTGGTCTGGCCTGAGCTGGAAGATTTTACATATGTTTTGGGGCGTGGGGGAAACCAGAGCACCTGGAGGAAACCCACACAGTCAAAGGTATAAAACTAAGAATTCCGTGCAGCAAGTTCCTGTTCCAGGCAAGAACAGGATTCGAACCCTTCTTGCTGGGAAGCATGAGTGCTACCCACTCAGCTAATGGCGCACAATACAGAAAGTACGATCACAGCACTTGTGTAATACTGGGTATTCTTGGGACAGAAATTGAGGGTTGTTGCCATCATTTCTCTCTTAAAATGTTGCATGAAACAGGAAGGAGTGTGCAGTTTTACTATCAACAACAAAACATGATTTGTCATGTTGCCTTGTTAGCTTGTGTGTCACCAGTGTCCTTGTTTGGTTATTTTAGATTTGTTTGATTTATCTGCAATAAACCACTGTTCAGTGGCAGTTATGCCACAGATAGAAAGTATTGGGTTATGTTAGTTGTAAACCAATTAAGTAATCCAGACACAAAATGCAAAGTCAAGAGCTGACTTGATAATAGTAGTTTTTTGTCATATGCCAGAGGCTGTATGCGATCCCTGTGGGCTGGAAATGTGATCTTGTGAGTATCCACTGAAAGACATCTTGAAGCTTCTCTGTCACGCTGCAGTGAATGAGCCCATAACATCGCGCCTTAGATTCACTCGTTGTCTCTTCTCTGTCCCCTCTCCCCTCTCTGGTCTCCTTTTATCAGCAGAGCTGGGTCCATTTCACCACTCAAGCATGATCAAATTGAAGCAGATAGGTCCGGAATTATGCCATGTGGCGCAGAAAAAGAGATAGGACCTTATTACCTCTCAAATTGAAAGATTTAACGTCAAACTTCACATTTCTCATGGAGCAGGGGATGTCTCTTATCGTCCATTTGTTGGCTGAGGAGCGCTCATGAGCCAGGGGCGCCCAGATATATGATTGGCTTTATAATTCACAGTACGCATCACTTATCAAATCATCCGGATGAACTTTTCACACTTGGTTGCTGCTTTTACACGATACAAGATGGCTATGCTTCGTCCAAAAATGTTCATATCGCCGGATACAAAATATTAAGCTATGTGGCTTATGATCTGATGTTAAAGAGAAAGGTGTATTGGTCATTGCAATATTTAGTATTCATTGTCTAAGTGCAGGGATTACCCAAATCTACAACATACATGTCCAAATTGAATACTCAATTTAAAACCCAGTTCCACACTACTGAGAACAGGTGTATTACATGGCTTCTTACATTGACAGACCCTGTATTATCTTTTGCCTGACCGCTGCCCCCACTTTACAGGCTCCACTGATTGTATCTGCTTCAGCACAGTGGGCACCAACGATCCGGTCACGTCTGCTTTACACATCATTGTGGGTGAGTAATTGAAAAGACATGTGCAGCTTTTATATGTGGACTACAGCTGTGTTGTGTTTCCTTTCTGGTAGATATTATCAAAGCAGGTTTGTCTACACACCAATATAAGTGACACAGTCAAGGTTTATTAGTTTCAAGATTGGATGTCTATAAGATAACAATGTTACTCTTGTACCAAACTTTTACTCATTATCTTACTTGTAGTGGGAATATATGAAGATATAATGTTGCAGCTGGCCTTTATGCAGAAGATTATGTTGAAATTGAAATGTGAAATGATTCGATTCAGTTTAGTTGACTCTGAGGGAGTGGCTCTGGATACAGACATTCACTGGATTAGCCCTATGTCTTTGTGTCATGATGGAATTCTGTGAAGTATTTGACTAATTTAATAATTTCAGCATATGTTTAACATTTTTTAGGCATAAATCCATATATCAAATTAATAATGATAACTTAAAGTAGACAGAAAATTGTGTCATAGACTTAAGGATTGTCAAACTTTGTTTTTAATAATGGCACAGAGAGAAAACAATGGCACAAGCAGAGTCAATACTTGCTCGAAATAGACCTGTCCCAGCAAATAACTGTGTGTTCCTCATTTCTTTTTCAGGTGATTCGCAACCGATGGACGTGTGCTCCGTCCACCACAACGACTCCTTTCTCAGATTCTCCGTTTCGCTGCTTGGTTACGGTTTCTACGGAGATGTGTTGTCCTATAGTGAAAGTAAAAGATGGCTGGGTCCCGCTCGCTACGACCTTGCTGGTAAAAAGAAAAAAAACTATTAATGCTTAAAGTGACATAGCAAGTTGCATCATCTAAATTTGTCCACTATTATGTCACTTTACCCTTCCAATTGATAAAAACATGCACAATAGGTCTAATCCTCCAGCTCTGATAGTCCTGACCAAGCAGATTATCAACATCTGGAGAAGGGTCCCCAGGCGCTGTACTATGGCGACCACTGCTCCTGACAGACGCTCTATAGGGCATTTGCAGGTTGGGTCAAATGCAGAGGACAAAATGCCTTACGGGGATAAATATAGTACACATTACATTAATTCTGTGACTGGCTGTGAAGTGAGTTACAGAAGATTTCAACCAATCAATAAATTCTCACCCTCTAAAAGTCAGGGAAAGATTATATACATCAAAAGACGTTGTGTAACAGCTCTGTATTCTAAACCACAGTTTCGCTTGCTGCTGCCTTGTTGATGTTAAGGGTTGGCAGCTGAGATCAAGCCTGGCTAAGCACTCATACTTACCTTTTCACCCTGGATCAGCTTATTCTAACCCGACTTACTCCCGCCGCAGGTCATTGTAGTAGGCCGATGGACTTATGTGTGCTGGGGCCTGGAGAGAATTTCAGATAATATCTAACACAGGGCTAGTGGCTCAGGAGTTCAGGTGAAAGGCTTTACTAGGAGCACCTCCAGCGCTGCTCCCATGGGCCCTCCTCATATACACTTCAGCTCAATGCACTGGACAACACTAGAGTGTAGTAATCCACTTTGTATAATGGAAAAACTGGGAGAAAATTAAACAGCACCCAGCCGGAACAAGTGAAAATTAACTGTTTTTTGTTTTTCTAGGCAAGGCAAGGCAAGTTTATTTATATAGCACAATTCATACACAAGGCAATTCAAAGTGCTGAACAAAACAAGAAAGCATTAAGATCATAAATAATCACAGAACATTAAAAAGAAAGATACAAATATAAAATCCCTCAGTTGTATGCACAGCTAAACAGAACTGTCTTTAACCTGGCTTTAAACATTGTCAGAGAGGAGGCCTGTCTCACATCTCCAGGAAGACTGTTCCAGATTTTAGCAGCATGAATCTGAAAAGCAGCCTCCCCATGTTTAGTTCTGACTCTGGGCACTAACAGGAGTCCAGTCCCTGTGCTCCTCAGAGTCCGGGCTGGTTCATATGGGACTAACATGTCACTAATATATTTTGGTGCGAGGCCATGGAGAGACTTGTACACAAGCAGAGCTGTTTTAAAGTCTATTCTCTGAGCCACAGGAAGCCAGTGCAGAGACCTGAGGACTGGACTAATGTGGTCGTACTTCCTGGTTCTTGTCAGGACTCGAGCTGCTGCATTTTGAATGTACTGCAGCTGTTTTACAGCCTGTTTGGACAGACCTGTGAGCAGGCCATTGCAGTAGTCTAACCTACTGGAGACAAATGCATGGATAAGAATCTCCAAGTCTGCTTTAGACACTATGTTTTTGATCCTGGCAATGTTTTTTAGATGGTAAAAAGCTGCTGATGTTACTGATTTGATGTGGCTATTAAAATTTAAGTCTGAGTCCAGTATTACCCCTAGATTTCTGACCTTGTTTGAAGGTTTTAGGGAGAGAGAGACTGTAGGTGACAGATGACGCTCTCTCTTTGTTTCTGGGGACCAAAGACAATCATTTCAGTTTTGTCTGCGTTTAGCTGAAGGAAGTTGTTTTGCATCCACTCACTGATCTGTTGGATACAGTGAAGGAGTGAGTCCACTGGTCCATGTTCTCCTGCAGTCAGTGAGACATAGATCTGAGTGTCGTCTGCATAGTTATGATAGGAAACTTTGTTTCTGCGTATTAACTGACCTAACGGCAGCATGTAGAGATTGAACAGAAGAGGTCCCAGGATCGACCCCTGTGGTACTCCACAGGTCAGGGCCATATGATCTGAGACACAGTTTCCAATCTCCACAAAGTACTTCCTGTCCTCAAGGTAAGACCTAAACCAACTTAGGGCGGTGCCAGTGACGCCAACCCAGTCCTCTAGTCTCTGTAAGAGGATCTCATGGTCGACGGTGTCAAAGGCAGCACTTAGATCTAACAAGATTAAGATTGAGACTTTGCCTGCGTCAGTGTTCAGCCGGATATCGTTTGTAACCTTAACGAGAGCAGTCTCAGTGCTGTGGTGGGGTCTAAAGCCGGACTGAAACATATCAAATGAGTTGTTGATTATAAGAAATCTAGTAAGCTGTAGGTAGACAACTTTTTCAAGGACTTTCCCCATAAATGGCAGATTTGAGATGGGACGATAGTTGTTAAGTACAGTGGCATCGAGACTGCTCTTTTTTAGCAGGGGCCTGATGACTGCAGTTTTCAGGGCCTTTGGGAATATTCCAGAATGAAGGGACATGTTTACTATCTGTGTGAGTGAAGGTAACAGACTGCTCAGAACAGACTTCAGAAATCTAGTGGGTAGTACATCCAGCTGCATGTGGAGGAGCTCAAACTGGAGATTATCTCTTGGACAGTTTTATCATTTACAGGTGCAAAGTGAGTTAGCTCAGAGAGCCTTTCTGGCTGTTGGATGGTTATCTGTGGATTGGAGACAATGGCGTTTTTGATGCCTTGAACCTTGTCATTGAAAAAATTAGCAAACTCATTGCATTTACGTTTGGAAGTAAGCTCTAATGGCATTTGAACAGGGGGGTTTGTTAATCTATTAACTGTTGAGAACAGAACACGCAGATTGTTGCTGCAGCCTTCAATCATTTCAGAAAAATACCTTTCTCTCGTACTACGTAGCACCCGGTTAAACTCGCACAACTTATCTTTGAAGATCTCGTAATCTACCTGGAGGTTGGACTTGCGCCACTTCCGCTCGGCCCTCCGGCACTTTCTCTTTTGTGCCCTGACCGAGTCTGCTTTAGCCCACGGCGCCTTCTGCTTATTTTTCACTATTTTAACCTTCACAGGGGCAACGGTATCCAGAACATTCAAAACACTAGAGGTGACAGAGTTAAACAGTTCATCTACAGTAGAATACGATGCATTCTCAAAGTTTATCATTTCCATAAATAGTTCACTCGTATTTTCATTTATGCGCCTTCTTCGAACAGTTGCAGAGTCCACTGGTGGTTTGTTAGTGAAACACATGTCAAAAAAAACACAGAAATGATCCGAAAGAGCAACATCGACCACGTTTACATTTGAAATAATCACCCCCTTTGTAACTAACAGATCTAGAGTGTGCCCTCTGCTGTGGGTGGGGCCACTTACGTGCTGAGTGAGATCAAAGGATTCAAGTACAGAACTCAGCTCATTTGCATTTCTGTCATCAACATTATCCACATGAATATTAAAATCACCTGTAATAACCAAACTATCAAAATCTGTGCATACAACTGAAAGCAACTCGGTAAAATGATCAATAAAACTGTGACATGACTGCGGTGGCTTGTATAGGACACAAAGAGTATTGGAGGAGATTGTTTTTGTTGTATTTTAAAAGACACATATTCAAATGACGAAAACTTCCCAAGAGACATTCTATGGGAGACAAAGTGGTCTCTAAAAATGGCAGCTAAGCCTCCTCCTTTTTTGTTTTCCCGTATTTCAGATTCAAACTTGAAATTTGGTGGTGATGCTTCTATTAAAACTGCATTTTCTGAATTTTGGTCAAGCCAAGTTTCAGCCATGAACATAAGATCAAGATTATGAGAAGAAATAAAATTATTGATTAAAAAAGACTTGTTACAAAGAGATCTGACATTAAGCGTAGCAAGTTTCAAAGTTTTAGTATCAGCGGTTGCGGTCGGCTGATTCTTACACGGAACAAGAATTAGATTTTCCAGATTAGACTGATTAACTCCAGATGTTTTTCTGTAATGTATTCTTTGTGTTATCACTAAGGGAATGGCACAGGTGGCTTCATGACAGGGCCCCAGCCGGGTCTCTCCTCTAACTAGACTGCCAGTGGCTGCGAAGCAGAGACCCTGTGTATCCTAGTGTTTAGAGAAAAGAGGGGTAGGGGAAGGCGGGGGGAGGAGGATGGAGAGGTGGGTGGCTTTTGGGTGTTGAACGAGGGGGGCAGGGAGGTGGAGGGGTTTTAGGTGATGGGTTAGGGCCGGGGTGGGCTGAGGCAGAGGTTTTGGATGTTGAACGAGGGGGAAGTGGGGGTGGAATGGTCATGAGGTTAGGGGAGGGACTGGCTGAGGTGGTTTTTGTAGGTGAATTGGAAACCCTAGGTGGTTTTGGAGGTACATATGGGGAGTGGTTTAGAATGTTGGACAGGACTCTAGATCTAGCTAATATGGGTGTGAGAGGAATAGTCTTCATCGCCGATTTTATTAGCCCTGCAGAGTGTTCAGGTAGGTCTAACAGTGAAGGCGGGGATGAAAAACAAAGGGAGGTGTCCCCATTCTCTCTTGATGGAGTGGACGTGGCAGGGGGGACCCAAGACAGGTCCTTGGGATGGGTGGCGAGGGAGTCTTTAATGGAGGGGCAGGTGGTTGAGGAAACCCCAGCACAGGCCTGTCTGCTGTAGGCTGGGGTGAGGATTGGGGCTTCAGAGGCGCTGTAGATGAAGAAGGCGTGGCTGCTTTGGAGCAGGCTGGGATGAGGATGGTGGTGGTGGTGGTGGTCGTGCTGCTGGTGCTGCTACTGGTGATGATGCAGCTGCTGCTGGTGATGATGCAGCTGCTGCTGGTGATGATGCAGCTGCTGCTGGTAATGATGCAGCTGCTGCTGGTGATGATGCAGCTGCTGCTGGTGATGATGCAGCTGCTGCTGGTGATGATGCAGCTGCTTCTGATGACAGTGGAGGTGTTGAGATCCTTCGAGGTGGTTGTGGTGTGTTGAGATCCTTGAGGTGGTGGTGGTGTTGAGATCCTTCGAGGTGGTGGTGGTGTTGAGATCCTTCGAGGTGGTGGAGGTGCAGAGACTTTTGGAGTCGGCTTCCTCCCTTTCGATGGCTGCACGCGCTGCGCAGGCTGAGATCTCAGGGCAAAAGAAAGGTTATCCATCAGCACTTTTACTCCGTAAGTGTTCAGATGTGGCCC